TTAAAAATCAGTCAGATGATGAGTGGCCATCAGAAGGCTTGGCAGGTAAATGCATCTGCTACCAACCCTAACTCAAAATCGAAGATCCTCGGGACTCACACATGGTAGGGGGAGAGAACCGACTCGAGTGTGTACACAAAATAAATAAATAAAATGTGTTTTTAAATTATTGAATTAACTAACTTGGAAGTGAGATTCTCAGGGATAACCAAGTTTGTAAATATGGGCAATAAAATGGGGTGTGGGAAGGTTCCAAACCCAGCTATATAAGTATTTGTAAACAGACAAGGCTACCAATTAGAGTGGAGAGTTGGGAGGACTGAAGGCCAGAGGGGGAAGTCGTGTTCAAAGTCACACTAAGTTAGTAATCAAGACAGGATCAAAATTCTGGGCTCCCCAAATCCTAATATAATCTTCACTATTACCATTAACATCTACACAAAGGGCAAAGAGGCTGTTTAATCAACCTTGTGACATCCACAGAGCAAATTGAGTCAAGTTGGAGCCCTTGGATTGATACTTGTGAGTTCATGGTGTCTAACCCCCATCCACTCACTCTGTTTCTTGCTTCTCTACACGAGAATAGATTAAAGAGCAGGTTGGCTGGGACACAGCTCATGGGTTACAGGTAAACTGGAGACAGCTAACAGGATGGAAGAAACCATACTATCGTTTGGTTTCCTAACCAAAGTTTAAGAGAAAGTTTCTTCAAGCCACTTGACCTCCTCCTGGGGTCTCCTTCTCTTCCCATCGAAGACTAAAGTCACCATAGGTGATAGATAGCAAGCACTATCTACGATGTGAGCCTTTGGCAAATGGACCTCACAAGGGCAGCTTTGGAAGTCAAGCTGAATGGGTTGTGACAGCACAGAAGACCCCAGGAAGACCCCACTTTTCCTGTCTCCATCCATTTTATCCATTCCTCTGATCCAGGCAATAACATGTTAAGGATCACTCTCTTCCTTCTTTCCTTCCTTCCTTTCTTTTTTGTTTTTTAGAAAAAAGTTTCTCTGTGTCGCTTTGGCTGTTCTGGAACTCACTCTGTAGACCAGGCTAGCCTTTAATCCAGAGGTCTGCCTGCCTCTGCCTGGTATCAAAGGCCTGCACCACCACCACCCAGCCAGGAATCACTCTTTAAAGGAGCACAGAATCCTGAGTTTTTCCATAATGGCCCAGCGGCAATCACAGGGGCAGTTTCTGACCAGCCAGTGGCAATGGGTGCCTGAGTTCATCTTACTCTTAGAGGAAAAGTTTTTGTTTTGAGGCTATTTATGACTTGAGCATCTAGGCCAGCTGATAATTCTTACAAATATGTCGAAAGACTCCCCTCCCCCCCCAAAAAAAGGGACCCATTTTGTTTTATTTGTTTTGGCCAAAATTTTAGGTAGAGTGTTTGCTCATAGTACAGTTCAGCTGTCCGTAACTGGAGAAACTGCCTCGCCTGAGAACAAAGGATTTAAAGATTTGAAGTTAGATAGACGCTTGGCCTCTACTGAATTAACCCTGTGACCCTGAACTTGTAACTCAACTCCTCTCTGACTTACTTTTTCTCTGCATATAATGGAGAAGTCACAGTTTTATTAGTGGTTAAATTAAATGAGATAAAGTTTTTAAAAATACTCTCTGGAACTGGAACTCAGTATTACATCAATAATTAGTAAATTAAATAGTGAAACAACGGATGCAAGTATCAATATGTAAGATTTACATGAACTTTTATAAGACTGACAAAAAACAGTACAAAGGGGAATGGAGAGATGGTTAAGAGAACTTTCTGTTCTCCCAGAAAATCCAAGTTCAGATCCCAGAACCTAGGTCATGTTTAGTGGCTCACAACCACCCCTAAACCCAGTTCTAGGGGATCCACTGCCCTCTTCTGGTCTCAAAATACATGTGGTCTCTCTCTTCATACACACACACATACATACATACATATATACATTCATACACACACATTAATAAAAATAAATCCTAAAAAAAATAACACAAAGGACAGCTAGCTATTTGTCTTTGAAAGCAATAGACAGGTATAAAGTTTAAAGAATTAAATTAAAAGTTTTCACAACAAAATTTTTCCAAGAAAACAAAAGAGTTCATGAGAATGCACATCGAGATTTTCAACACACTTAAATGGGGCAGGCCAGCCCATCATATATGAAGCTGTAGTGAATTGGCAAATAGAACTTTCATAAAATCCCATGGCAAATGTCCACTTAGGAGTAATCACTTATAATTAACCATTAAACTTTTCATTTATCCTGACATCTCCTAAGAAAATATCAGTTTTTTTAAAAAACACTTTATATAATGCCAACTCCTATTCCTCCTCTTCCAACATACACATTTTTCCATACATCACCGATATATTCCATTTCTTTATGAGAATTATTTTAAATGTTAAAAAGACCAGGTATGGTGGCAAATGCTTGTGATCCCAGCATTTGAGAAGTGGAGGCAGAAGATCAGGAGCACAAGGCCATCCTCAAACACACTATTTGAGGAAGTTAAAAGGTAAAGGAAGATGCAGGCTACAGGTCTTATATTTTGACAACTCAGAGATACTTAGAAAAACAGAAGCAGGGGAAGAGTTTGAAAGTATTCCAACAGATCCAGTTGTCGTATCTCCCACGGGAACAGAAGAAGGGATTACAGTAGGAAATGGCTATTTCTACCTTTCAAACCTACATTGTTCCCTAGCCAGCCCCACAGCGCATTTGTTTAAGCAACTGGAAAGTAGACCATGTGAGCTCAGGAAGTCAGCCATGGGCTTAGGTCAGGCCAGAGATCACTTTCCGGTCTCAGTCTCCCCAGATGTAAAAGGGCTGTAATATTCCAGCGGTGCTCACGCCAGGAAAAGAAAGCGATTCAATCCAGCCCCTCACTTCACACTCAAGGGCGACAGCAGTGTGCAGGCTCTCTTAAGGTCACGGAGCTAATTAGTGGCAGCATCAGGACTAGAGGCAAGAGTCCTTTGAAGCCTTGGCCTTTCTGCATGAACAAAGCTGCCATTGAAGTAACAGATAGAAAATGCTTTGTAAAAAAAAAAAAAAAAAAAAAAGAATATTGTAAGGGAGAACTGTCATGGACATAGCTGCTAGGTCCCCTGTGGCCATTAATTAAGAAAGGCCTTTTGAAGCATCCCTGTGCCCTGTACAAGTCTTTTCTTTACATCCAAATGTGCTAGGGTTCAGTTCCCAACAAAGACACAAGAAGTAAACAATTAACTGAATTAATTCAGGCACTGAAGTGGATTTTCAAGGACTTGACTTGCCCAAGCTAGTTTTCTACAAAGCCTAAATAAATCAGATAATTGCTAATTCTCCCCTTTGTTTTGCACTGAGGAGAGTCTGTTTGTTAAAATGAACCTAGCAGGGGAATAAACAGTCATTAGGACAACCTCAGAACTCTGCATCTGAACAGAACAGCACATTCCCAGCACACCATCCCTGCCATTACTTTTAAAATATTGCTTTTTTTTTTTTTTAAATTTAGAGAGAGCCTTTTAATCAAGTGTTTAAAAATCAGGCTGTTATATGCATGGCTGGTGGCACCCCCCCCCCAAAAAAAAAAAAAGTCCTTTGGCATAAATGAATACAAGTTAGATCTTTGGGGCACAGTTCCTACTGATAAACTTTTAAACACAGTCACTTTGCAATGATTCTAAACAGCCTTTGCTTCATAGCTGTTAGGTTTTAAAATTAACTCAAATATGCAAAGTGCCTCCTATTACCAGGAGGAGAGTTGTGAAAGTAACTTAATTAGCTGGATCAGAAAAAAATAATCACAAATGAAATGGTAGTCTCTAGACCTTGCATCAGAATTTCAGAAGCCAGAACAACTATTCTTATCATTTGCATTCCCTCATTGCCCAGCTAACATAAAACAGACTATTATGGCAATCATTAAGTGCTTTACCAAATAAACCCGGGACCAGAATATTAGAATAGGGCAATGTGTACAGAGCTCTGATTCCTACTGTCCTGAGTCCCTGCAGTTCAGTGTATGTGTGTATCTATTTGTGTGTGTCTTTGCTGTGTGTCTCTGTGTCTGTGTGTCTTTGCATGTGTGTCTGTGCGTGTATGTTTTTGTGTGTGTCTCTCTGTGTGTCTATTCGTGTATCTGTGTGAAAGAAGCAAGTAGCAGTTAATTGGCAAGCTGAGTGCCCAGTATAATTTGGTTTTGTAGGGCACTAATAGAAGTGAAAATGTGGCTAAAATACTTCATGTAACATAATAACTGATGATTGCCAGATAGTTTTGGTAAACAGTTGGCAAACTGTTACTCACAGCAGCTGTCACTACATATTTAGAGTAAATGTTAATTTAAGAATATTAACCTCGTGAGTGTTTCTGTAAACAAAGCTTCTACTATTCTCAAAGGTTACAGAGACTGGCTTGAGTATTTTTAGCCAAATCTAGTGCAGCCTGGCCTCACTGTTTCTGAGTTCTTCCGCTTTACACTTGAAAGGCTTCAATCCTAATGCCTTCGCAGAGATTCCCTTTGGGAATGCAAATGGCAAGGACATATGTGTGATAGATGCACATCACAGAGGCCAGAGAATAAACTGATAGTGCTTTTAGCATTGCTAGAGATGAGTTTTGCTCAGGGGTGGGGTGGGGTGAAGAGAGAGATAGGGGGGAGAAAAGGGAAAAAGGAGAGAGAATTTTTAACAAAGTCCCACCGTTTACTAAATAAAGCAAGCCATTTTTCCAACCCAGCTTCCAAAGTCTGAAACCCTGCTTGCAACAAACGTTAGCGCAGCTTGTTTTGTCTGTTTGAACTACTCACTTCCAAGTAAGATTTGCATGACAGATCGCAAACTCTTGTGCAAACCTCGAAACAGTTGCATCAAGAATCAAATTCAGTCTCACGCGCACTCAGCCTGGTGCAGGATTTGGCTTCAGGCATGCTTGCTGGGAGTTGATAGAAAGCCATTTTTTTTTCCCTTTGACCACGCGAGAGAAACGCAGTGAAAGTTCCAACCACACACAAACGCCTACCTGCTACTCGCCTGGGCTCCAGACTCACGCTTTCCTCAGCTTGCTGGCACTTCCGCGCCAAACGCTTCTGCCTCCCCAAAAATGTGTGTGGGCGCAAGCCCAGACGAAACTTCAAATCCAGGAAAATGGATTACCCGCGCAGATCAAAGGCGGGCGAGCTGGGAGATGGAGTGCCTGTAATCTGATCGCCGATCAGCTGCAGCGCATCAAAAAGGCACGGCTGAGCTTGCTCACTGTGCACGCGGATCTAGAAAGATCGCCACCGGCAGGCTCTTAGCTGGGCTCCCGGGCCACACGGTCTTTTGTTAAACGTGGGCCACGTTGTTCTGCCGGCTGTGGGGGGCAGGCTTCCCCCGGCCTGGCCTGAGTGAGAGGCTGCCTAGTGCCAGCGGGCTGCGCCGCATCCCTTTCATCTCGATGAGTGGCAGCTCCCATGACATCATGCCGTGCCGTGGGGCTGGTCGGGAGAAGGGAGCCAGCCCTGATCCCGAGTCGTCTTGGTCTGTGCCTCGCCCGGGACAACCCTGCAGCGTGTCTCTTGGCTGGGAGGGAGACGTCGGGAGCCGTTTGTGCTCCTGGCCACTAAGGTCCCGGACAGGTTCAGGTTCCCGAGACAGCATCAGAACGCTGCCTGTGACAAAGAACTTGAAGTCTCACCAGAGCAGGGTGTCGGAAGCAGCAGGGCCCCCACAGCACTGCTTAATTAGGCTGTTTCTCCAAACACCCGCCTCACATCGCCAGGGTCACAGGCAAACGTATTAAAAGTTTGTTTCCCACCGCCCTCCCTCCACACACGCACACTATGACAAGTCTTTAAGAATTAGTAAAATCTCTTTTCCTGGTGAAATAATTTCTTTATAGATGGCGCCAATCAGGTGGTGGTTTTCATTAAGTAATGAGGGATGGCAGCCTGCAACTTAGGAGACCAGCGCCTGGTCACCAGACACCTGGGTCAGAAGCCTCTTAATCTAAATTTGGGGTCCTAATAAAACAAACAAACAAACAAACAAAAAATCAGATCTAAGGATGCTTCCTTTTTAGAAGTAATTAATGGACACCTTTTGAAAATTCTAAAATTCACAAAAGGGCTACTTCGAGAAAAGCGTTTACTTGCACAGCTTTCAGTCCAGGCACAAACCCACAGTTCGGACCCAGCTGAGAAATCGCCACCTCATTCTCCGTATTGTAAAGTGAAGCTTACTGTCCATTCTATAGAATACCCATAATGGAGGACAGAGCCCTGTGGTGGGAATGCAGCATGTTTCTAAACCTGGAGCTGTTTAGACTGGGAGAAAGGAAAGATTTCCATTTTGTGATAGAATTATGTCAGTTTGCAGAAGGGCTGTGAAAAATACGTTTTACAGCACCTTACTGTCCTTAGAAGACAGTAGAATCCATGTCCTCCTCTTATCAGTTACATCTCGTTTTTCCTGGTGTGATATTTACAAATAGTTTATGGCCTGTCTATCTCCAGACGCCTTTGATTCCTGGGTAAATAATCCTGTAAGCAAAATACAGCATGTGACTGTTTAAGTGTAACACTTAAATCATCTGTTTCATTTCCAGTATCTGTCTCTTTTTATTCTCCAGCTGTGGTGGAGGCTGGATCCCAGAGCCTGTTCATGCTAGGAAGGCCCTCCATTTCTGAGACTTTTCTGAGATTTTTTTTTTTAAGACAGTCTCCGGTGTTGTGAACTGGCCTTAGACTTGATGTTTATTCAAGGACAGCCTTGAATTTTTGATCCTCCTAAACACTGGGGTTATGGGCATGCGCCATCCAATCTATGTGGTTATGGTTTCTGAACCTAGGCCTTCCTGCACTGTAGATAAGCAATGGAACACATAGCCAGCCCCGTGTCCTTAAATCAGCAGGCGTGCTTCTGTAAGCCACCCCAAGACCTATGCAGCTCCTGAGCCCTGGGGACTCATGAAAAGTGGGGCAACTATCTCCAAGAAGGCTCCTGCTGACTCTTCTCTGAGGTAACCAAACGTTCCACATTGCGGAGTCCACATCCGCAGCGGTCACCATGGTTTCTGTTCCCTGCCCCCACATCACAGAAAATGGAAACAGCTGGATGTTCTTCCTCCAGGGTGGGCAAGTAGGTCACAGGCCTCTACAGCTTACCACCCATGGGAAATGGGCAAGGGTTAGATTCAGATGGTTGTAGTTCAAAAGCTTCCAGAAGGCAACTAGCAGCAACAGGTTCAATGAACACGCCAGTCAAACTAGCCCTCCATGAATCTCCTCAAACCACACTGGCTGTTCAGACATCTTTGCTTTGTTCAGACACCTGTGCACTGAGTTGGTCTTTGTGAGTCAAGAACTATCCACGTGGGAAATGAAACAGTCCTGGAATGAGAGCCCATCTGTCTCCAGATGCAGAGTGTGGCCCCAGATGCAGAGTGTGGCAAAGGCTGGCCTCCAAGGAAGAGTAACCTCTTGACCTGAAGCTTGTAACTGTGGCCCAGCCCTGAAACCCTGAGTGGCAGTGTGAAGGGCTTGACTGGGAGCCCATTCCCTTTACCTCCAAGAGCACAGAAGAGGACCAGCAAGATGCCTCAGCCAGTCAAGGAAGTTGCTGCCAAGTCACATGACCTAAGTTTCCGCCCCCGGACCCATAAGTTATCCTGACCTCACATGCACACACATAAAAAAATATTAAAAACCTGTCCATATGCTTAACAGTCATGTGTCTGCTTAACTACGGGAATTTGTTCTGAGAAATGTGTCATGCAAACATCAGAATGTGTTCCACAACTCTAGATGGTGCTATCTACCATACACTTAGGAAATCTCATACACACACACACACACACACACACACACACACACACACTCCCAGTCTTGCATACTGTTCATGATGAATCAAGTAATATTAAATTCAAACGCAGAGCAAATGATGCGGTTGGAGGATGGAGTGGATGTGAGATGCACAAGGCTAGTGGCAGAGTAATAGGCTGTTGGGTTATAGTGCCCTTTTTAAAGTAAGGAAGCACATACTCTTGATGATGAAGAACACAAACACTTAAACATGTCAGCCGGTAGCACGGTCGCCTGTCACTGTTAACAAGCATTGTGCACTATCCATCATTTGATGGCTTGACTTTCATGCAGTTGGCTACATAGTTCACACCAGCATTAAACCCGACACACACACAGGAGTAATAAGTTGCTTCAACATCTCTAGGCAATTCAAAATTTTAACCTCACACCTGCCACCCCTCATTGATCCTACTGTCATTCTGCGACAACCCTGTTTTAGGAACAGTCAGTCACTGTATTTTATCATTGACTCCTGGTACTTTGTCCAGCATAAATGGCACCTCTTCCTCTCTTTACATAGTTGCACTTCAACTACTTGACTACACAATGGGAGACAGCCCTCTGATCCAGTGGAGAGATGGACACAGTTCCACAGCATTGTTACTGAGGAGGCAGCCACCATCTACACCAAGGAATAGATGGCCTCTGAAGGAGCTTATCAGAGAGGGGTCTCATGTTGCCTCTCAGTTGCCACTAGTTTCCTTATCACCTGAAGAATTCTTCTTTTGTTTCTTATTCTTCTTGGTTTTTCCTCTTGTTTCTTCTCCCTCCTCATTCTTCTATTCTTTTCTTTGAGACAGAATTTCATATGTAACTCTGTTGCACAATCCTAACAAGCACAAACTTACAAATGCTGGAATTACAGCTCTCATGCTCTGCCCCAGAGCCCAGGACAACCAGTGATCTGTACTGTCATGTAGTTTTGCTTTCTCCAGAATGCTGATAGGTAGAAGTATATGATACATTATGAGGAGCAGACAAAATCCTAAGTGTGTGTCCTTGACATGAGCACCGCCATGTTAGAGACCCCAATGCCTTAGACCCAGAGAAATGGCAAAGCCTTCCTCTAGTTTAAGTACTAGTGTTGAGGAAAGGTTGACCTTTATCTAAAACTAGTGTGCGCAAAGCCTTCCTCGGGCTATGTTCCAGTGTTGACCGGAGTGTACTGAGAACGTCAGTCCCAGCTTCCTTCTCCAGGATGTTCACAATCTGAGATTGCTTCCCTGCTTATACCTCCCAATGAAACCAGCTAACCCACCTCCTTGTGCTGCACATAATAAAAGGGCCAAGTTTCCCAATTGCATAGTTGGTGTCCTTCATCAGATGGAGAACAGCTCATCCTGTCCCAGTTTTTCTGTATGCACATCTGCTGTTTTCTTCAGTCTCTGTCCTTTATTCATTGTCAAGTTGCCTGAGTTGGGTTTCCAGGACCAAGTCATGCTAGACATGGCAAAATGTGGTCCTTCTGTGCACCTATTTCACTTAGCAGGGTGCATTCCAGATCTCCACGGTAGATGGGAGACATGGCTCAGTAGATGAGAATGGCTGTTCCTGAAGGGACTAGAATCAGTACAAGATACCCCCAAATTAAGTTCTCAACACAAAGGAGATTTATTGGCCCCAGAGGGACAAAGGTCAGTGGATAAGAGAAAAAGGCAGAGAGGATGAGGGAAAAGGGGGGGGACAAACAGGGAAGAGGGGGAAGAGATGTTTGCCCTAGAGGGACAAAGGACTGCTGCTGCACAGAGAAGAAAAGGATGTGGCCCATAGACAAGTAGCAGTTTTAAAGGGAAAAAGGGAAACCCCATGTTAGGATGAGGTGTTTAATTTTGATTGGTCATATTAATTAGGGTGTTTGCCATTCTTGGGCCTGCTAAAGCCCCTTCAATTACTCTTCTGACTTGAGTTTGGTTTCTAAAACTCATGTCAGGTAGCTCACAACTTATAACTCCAGTACCCAGGAATATGGTGCCCTTGATATACTCTTCTGGCCTCTGCAGATACTGCACAAATGTGGTATATAACTCTCTCTCTCTCTCTCTCTCTCTCTGTTAGCCACTTTGAAGAAACACAGTGATTTCTGTCTTGTTCTATTTTGCCATGACCCTTCTTTTTATCAGCAACTCTGATAAAAGAAAGCATTTAATTGGGGCTTGCTTATAGTTCCAGAGGCTTAGTCCATTATTATCATGGCAGGGAGCATGGTAGCACACAGGCTGACATGGTGTGCCTTACACATTACATTCCAAAAGGAAGGAAATGGAGCATAGTGAGGAAATACTGGACAAAGCAAGACCTAAAACCAGCAGGGCAAACACCAAATTTTGCATGTCTACGCCTGATGTCAATGTGCTCTTCAGATCTACAATTCTTTCCAGGTTTGTTGTCTGCAATACACTGTTCTCTCTTGGGCTGGTTCCACACCTGCTTTGCAGCTCTCCTTGGTGGGTATCCCACGACTCTGGCACCTCCAACAACTAGGGGTCTCCAGTGTAATCCAGACTTCACC